ACCCAGTACGAAACCTCGAGGTTCAATACGAAACCCTAAAGGTTTCGTACTTTCCTACAAAACCTTTTTTCTGGTGTACGGAACCTAAAAAGGTTTCGAAGAAAAAAGGATCTTCACTTGGATACACGGTAAGATCCTTTAAAGGTTCCGGGTTTTTTTTATTCTTTTTTTGAAACTTTCAACACGTTTGCAAACTTTTTGTCATCTACCGAACCTTGTTTTGAGGTTCCAGAAAATACCTTTTTTTTTACAGTGTAGCCTCGTTGCTTATTTTATATAGCAAGTGGTTGCCGCACCATCTGTTTAATACAAAACAAGGATATGAAGGTGGATATGAATGTGAATCTTTTATTCATACTCAAGAACACCCACAACTTCGTGCATGATGATATAAATCACTACCTATTTGACTGCATCATCAGAATCAACAGAGCCTAGCTATCTAAAATTTGTCCCGCAAAGGGTTCAAAAATCCAGGTAATTTACTCAGTAATGATGAGTAATTTTTAATTATTAGGTGGCATACGCCCCCCACTTTCGCGACCTGCGCCTAGATAGCCCTTAAAAAGCTATAATGATTACTCTCTAAAATAAAATCTGTCACACTGAACATTTTAGTATTTTGAATTTGAGTACTGTTTACTAGGTGTGTTCGGATCCCGCTCACGATCGTGAGCCCTCATATGAGCGTGAGCGTCTATTCTGAACCTGAGTATATGATATACGAATAATTATCAACCAAGTTCTTTTTTGTTCTCATTGAAATGCATTCTGATATCTCATAGAGGCCTCTCACTTCATTAAGCCGATGTCATTTTGGAACTTCACGAGGAATAGTGATTTGCCGAACAAAGACTCTGCCTAACGACACAAACTAAGGATGTGAAAGCATGCCCGTTCATGATTTTTTCCTGAGTTCTTTTGCAGAGAAATAGGAATCGAGCGCTTGTTTTATTCGACTTGATTAAATTCGATGCTGAGCAATATTACTTTATATCTGATGATAGGTGCTACATATTTCTACTTGAAACTGAATTTCTTAGTAATGAGGGTTATTGCAAGAACCTATTACTTACTATTGAGAACTAATTTTTTATGCAGCTAACCTTGAATTCATTTCACATTAGGTGATCAAGTCATATTTGTGAGGTGAATACCAATTTGTTTCGGTTTTTCTTTGCACCATGAGGCGGCTATTTTACGCTAAAACTCGGTTTCAGATGAACCCTGATTAAAGGATTTTGGGATCGAGGAACCTGTCTAGAATCAGTTCATCAAAACTTCGCATTCAATTTTTATACTATACAAAAACATCATTTTACTGAAAAAACACGTCGGTTTTTACTAAAAACATTTTGTTATTCAAAACGTCCTTGTTCAATAAAGAGTAATTTTTTCACAACACATAACTTTAGAAAAATGTGACATTTGCCGCCAATGCTTTTTTTCAATAAAAACTCCTTTTAGGAAAAATCGGTTTTCCTTTCGACAAAACTTTTTTAATTCAAAAAACAAACTGAAATTTTTCAGAAATCGATTAGAGATTCGGATTTCCGATCGCGTTATCCTACGGTTAAGCTTTATAAAAAATCGTTATTTTCTCAAAAATCCTTTCCGTAATAGGAAAAAATAATTCAAAAGTTTGAGAAACCGACTTCAGAGCCGGATTCCCTGACCCTGATTGCCTTTTGTCAAGCTCTAAAAATTACATCAATACATGCGAACAAACGACTAGATGCTTTCATGGAAACACAAGCAGAGCCACAGACTCATGTTATCTCATATGATCCTTGCCTTGGTAGAGCGAATGATATGAATTGCGAAGTGTATTAAAATAGGCTATGTTCATTTTTAAAGCAAAGATTTATTAGAGTACGCATATCTCCCTTAAATGGAACCGCTGCGTCCTCCTCGAAATCTTTTGAAATCTTTGGGAATCTCTTGAAATCCTCTGGAATCTTTATGAATTTTAGAATCTTGGAATCTGCTTGTTTTCCTTTGGGTTTTTTAATACCAAAATTCAAAAGTGACCTGAAATAGATTTATCAATGTATTACGAGGATACTGCGCGCTGGAAAACAAATTTGGGGATACGAAACCTAAAAGGATTTCAAGTATGCTACGAAACCCTCAAAACAGTACCCTGAGTGCTTCATGAGTGTTTGTAAGGGTTCCGTGTAATACTACGAAACCCTGGAAAAAGCTTGAGGATTTCGTAGCATTCTACGAACCTATAGAAAAACTTAGTGTGAAACCCTTACAAAGACCTAAAATGCACCAAGGCTACTATTTTGAGAGTTTTGTAGCATGCATGAAACCCTTTTTAGGTTTTTATCCACAATTTTTTACCAGAGTATAGTAAAGGATATTTTTATTTCAATCCTACTGATCATATTCGTTTAGCTACTACTACGACAACAACTACAACAACTACAACAACTACAACAACTATAACAACCACAACAACCACAACAACTACAACAACTACAACAACCACAACAACCACAACAACCACAACAACTACAACAACTACAACAACTACAACAACCACAACAACCACAACAACCACAATAACCACAACAACCACAACAACTACAACAACTACAACAGCCACAACAACCACAACAACCACAACAACTACAACAACTACAACAACCACAACAACTACGACAACTACAACAACCACAACAACTACAACAACTACAACAACCACAACAACTGCAACAACCGCAACAACTACAACAACTTCCATTGAAACACTACCATGTACAACGTTTACCTTGATCCATCAATCAATATCGAACGACTGCTTAAAATTATTTTTGAATATCCGAATAAAACCTTTGTCCGGACTGTGCATGCATTATATCATCATTACTTGAAACATACGCTGTAATGTTCTAGTTACAGTTATAAATGTAGTTAAATCGATGTTTAGTTGAAATTACCCAAATATTTTTAAATCATCACTCAAAAGACATTACAATCACATTTTAAGGTAGGTCGGTAGATACCTGAATGAATTATTCTTTCATTCGATTCACGTTCTACGCATTGTCTCGGTGTACTCTCAGCCATT